GTTAAGGGAAATGAAGTCCACACTAGTGAATATTTAAAGTGTAACCATTGCACCAAATTTCTCCTTTTAATTTTATAACAGCCCACATGTAAGTAAAAATTTGGCCACTTCCCATCTCCTATGTCAATGAGTTGTCTATAGATGTTCATCAAAGATCAACCTGTGCGGTTACATTTTTTGTACCTCAACACTTACTCTCAGTTGAATATTTTGTTTGAAAAAAAAATCCTGCAAAAAGGATATAAAAATTATGAGTTTTGTGCATTTATAAATATGAAATTAAATATTTCCCTGTTTTTAACAAATCTTTTATTCTCCATTTTAATGAATTTGTGGCGGACATGAGACAGAACCTGGGACGAGCACAACTGGTCGCGACTCGCCTTGTCCCCGCCAAAAAAGAGCCCGTATTTGCTTAGCATGTAAAGCTACTGCAGTTGAAATGAGGGAGAAAAAAGCACTTACCGCTCTGCCGTAATCCGTCCTCGGCCAGATAACGTAAAAGAATGAGGGGGGACTTGCATTGCATTTTTATGCAATAAAGATGCAATGCATTATGGGACATGGACGCAACGAATTATGGGATCACATGAAGACGCAAGGGATTATGGGTATATGGACAACTATAAAAGCAACTACTTTTTTCCGAGTGGGGGAGTTCTTAGAGTGACGTTCACGGTTGTCGGCAAGAACAATTAGTGTGATTTTGAGACAGAACTCAAGAAGGAACGACTCAAGGTTGAAATACCAGTTGGGAGAGCTTGAATTTACTCGCTGGTTACTGTTTTCTTCATTTGCCTCAGAATTGTAATGTTCACAATTTCAAGTAATTAGTACATTAAGTCCAAAGGCAAATTTTGTGAAATGATTTATGTTATATTTTTCACCAATTTTCTCTTGTGTTTTTTTCATATAATATTTACTAACAACATTCTTCTTCTGTGTGCTATGACCCTTTAGGTCATTGCTGACCATGGCTCTTCACAATTTCCAAAATTTTGTAGCTCTTAATAAACTTTGTCTTTTTGTTATCTCTCCTAAACTCTGTTCTGCCACCCAATTAAACAAACTTGCTAGGTAGTTTATGCATTGTTTTCCACTTGCCTTCAATCTGTCCTGTGAGTATCAAATTTTCCAATCCCTCTTTTCTCATTATATGTCCTAGAAAATTCAAATCTCTCTTTCTGATGCTAAGTATAAGTATACTTTTCATTTCTTCTAAAACTTCCTTTTTCACATGTTCCTTCCATGGTATTCTCAGCATTATTGCCTTACTTGAGGTGAAATGATTAAAACAAAAAAACAAAACAAAAAACACCTGTACCTCGTACCAGGTTAGTCTTTCATATCATTTGACAGGAAGTATTAGTCATGAGTGTGATAATTTTTATGCTACTAATTTCAATTCAATAATATTCATTAACAGTGATTATGACATTACCGCTAATACTATTAAATTAAAATACTCCTCATATGATTGGTTTTTATTTCTACATTATTTTAATGCTTATTTCTTTTTCCATGAAACCTTTTCCACTCCAGTAGTTTTTTTGTTTCTATAAGCAGATAACGATGGCTAAGAATTCCTAATCATCAGTCTTTGCCAAAAAGAAGAGGAAAAGTTAATTTCATTATTTAGAAAAAGAAAAAGTATCTTTATCTTTTCAGATTTGGACCTTACTACTTTTTTATTTGAACAAAACTTCCAGTTTTATTTAATTAATCCTAAATAATTTCCTTTGCACAGTGCACAATTCAGGGTATTTAAAAAAAAAATTGATGTCATTGAAGATGTAAATATCTGAGTAACCATAGTGTTTAGGCAAATGAAACTAATTTTTACAGACTGGCTGTTTTTATGGACTTCCTGAGGAATTCAACCGACTCAACCATCTCTTGGAATTACTGTTGGTCAGCCAAATCCTTCATTGTTGTATAGACAAGCTTTTCCCTTTAACTTTTTGTGCCCTGATTAAATCTGTATTTCAGATTGTGTATTTTTAGTGAATTCTCTCACAAATGCACAATGTGCAAACTTTTTCAACTGTTAATTGAACATATCCTAACACTGAAAATGCCTTTTCGTTTCTAGTGAGTCTACACCTTAACAGAAAAAAATAAAACTTAGGATTTTAACTATTTATATTCAGACTGTTGGTCTCATTTTTGTTGTTTTCAGCACAATGTTTCAGGTGTTGTGATCTTCGGCCTTTCTCAGGTGTATCTTGATATGACTATAACTGAAAGTGCTTGGATATACAAAGCATTCAGACATTTTCTACATAATTTATGTCCAGAAAAGAAGAAAATTATAAGAACATGAGAAAAATTAAATAAAAAATTTAACTGCAATACTTTGTATGCCATTTTTAATGAAACTTGTATAAAAGAGAAAGAGGGATTACTGCCCAAATACATCATTCTATATATATATATATATATATAGAATATGTGTGTGTGTGAACAAACATATAGAAAAATAGGAAAGAACACATTAGGTTAATAATCCAAAATTCTTTAGTAATTTTTTTATTTAAAAAAGAAACAATGCCCAATACATAAGTAGAGCCTAAATTTTATATATATATATTTTTTTTTTTTCTGTATATATTTTATATGCACAATACTTATGGGAACATGCTCAATATCAGTGTGTTATATTCTGTGCTAATAGGTATATATATTTGAAAAACAAGGAGGATAAAATAAGTAAAGGTTTATTGCAAAAACCAATACAATAAGAATAAAGGTAACAGTTATGCACAAGGTTGTTGCAAGTCAATCCAGTAGTGAGTGATACTATTGGAAGATCAGTAGTTCTCATGTAAGTCTGAGTCATACACAACAGATCCCAGTTCAACTCTGTTAATTTACAGATACATATAGGTTGTTACTACCTATAGTGTAGTCACTTGTGGGGGTGACAGATTATTCCATTACATCACAGTGATAGAGCGAACATGTTTAGTTGTATGGATATGAATTTGTGACCCTGATTTTCATGCATTTGACTGAAAAAAAAAATATATATATATATATATGCGCGGTACTTATTGGAAAGTGCTCAATATGAGTGATAAAGCCTAGATATTCAGTTGTATGGATATGAGTTTGTGACCCTGGTTTTCATGCTTTTGTGATCATCAGACAAATTGGTTGATTTTTTTTTTTTAAATTGAATCTATATATGTTTGGTGGTAGGAGGGGGAATTTTCTTCTGTGTCCATTTTGGGATGATGCTCACACACACGCAGACATACGTATATACAGGTGTATGCATTATAGTTCACGCTATAATGCAAACTTTGTGAACTTGTGTCAGAACCAAATACATTCTTATTATTCAAAATAGAGTCCAATAGTATTATAAAAACTTCAAAGAATTCCAGTAAGATATCTTTACTCATTTCTAAAATACAACAGTTCAAAGCTTAATCGAACAATTGGACAATTTTGCTGTTACACCTGGCATGTGTGTAAAATATAGTTTGAAAGTCTGCTATATTTATGGGTAAAAGTCCTCAATACCAGAGATAGAGCATGTATAAATATAAAAGTGGAGATAAGTACTTTATGTCTATATGTTTTTGTCTTGCAGCTTGGATAAATCTCATTGATTTCTAGAAAACCTTCAATAGAATCAATGTGAGACTGATTTTCTGCTGATTCAATTCTGGAATTATTCTAGAATTATTCAATAAGTTTTGTAGAAACTTCTTTCTCTGGTTTGCTAGAACTCTCAGAAATTGTCACCATTTGAAATTATTATCTCTTTTGCTCTCTTCTGTCGAAATTTAGCTTAGTAACAGCCAAACTCGGTGTAAAAAAGGTTGGGAAACTTTGTCATTACGTCCAATGACGGGAATCCCGCATAACACAGTTAACAGAGACCTGAAACCATGAATATACAACCATAACAAGCGAGATAAAGGAGGAGGAAAAACCACTTTAAATAGCTATAAAATTTATTGAGGGAAAAGAAAAAAAAATAAAATGAGAGGGGGGGAAATAGTCTGATGTTAAAGTTCACTGGTACAACTTGAAAATAACTGCCAAAAACGTCCCTTTGGCGAGCCCTTAAAAAGAACTCCAATAACAGTTCAGAGAGAGTGAAAGAGGTAGAGAGATAGCAGAAAGAGGGGAAAAATTAGACTTACTGTTCAAAAAAAAAAATAACTTTAGTATTTTTTTTTAAGTATCTGCGCAGAAAGGTTTTTAGATATTTTTTGAGTTGCTCTCCTTGGAAAATAAGCAAGCTTCCTGTTAAAAATAAATGCAGACTTGTTTTTTCAAACTTTCTCGACGACACAAATTCAACTTCTAGAGATGACTTCGAAGATCTTTTTTTTCATACTTTTTTCCACATCAGAATTTCGTCCACCAATAGGACCAAATAACTCCTCGAAAGAAGGTAGCTTTTCAATCGCTTAATTTTGACTTTTTTCTCTCTTCGACCCGATTGTCGAAAGAAGACTTCCTTGAGAATTCTCTTTACAATAATTTCTTTAACTGATTTTTTTAGATAAGTCTTTACTGACTTGTTCTTTGGTTGCTGAACAATAATCCATTTGATTACTTGAACAGACTTGACTTCACTTGTCTAGAGAATAAGCTTTTTCCACACGGCGAACACACTTGTTCTTTATCTTCAATTCTCTTAGACAAATATTCTTGACTGGTCTTTTATGACTGTTTTCCTTGTCAGAGCAACAACAGGTTACCTTCAAGCAGGTTTCCTTTTTGTCGCAAGACAAGACAACTTATCATCTCCACACTGCGGCACCCTTTTCTCCTACTACTGACTAGATTCCTCTAATCTAGTCGAAAACAAACGGGAAAATCACGTATGACCAATCGTTAGACACAATTTCGCCACGTGACACAGCAGCAGCAGTTCTTACACTGCACACGGGGAAAAGGAGATGGGGAAGGAAAGTAAGAGAGATAGAAAGATAGATACTTCAGTCAGCTATTCTCTATTCTTTTTCTCTTTTGCTCAGTCCCATCAAATCTCTTTTTTTCCTCAGTTCAAATTTCCTCTCTCTCAGTTCATCTCTGTCAAATTGTCTTTGTCACTGCAGCCCATTCATATCTCTCTCTCTTTCTCTCTCTCCTCTGCCCACTGTCTCTCTCTCTCTCAGCTTGTTCATTCATCCTCTCTCTCTCTATCTCTCCTTCTGCATATCTCTCATTCTTCCTCTTTGTGTGTATGTTGTTTTTTTCCTTTCTTATGTATGTGTTTTTTTATGTATCTGTGTCTCTCTCCTTTCCTATATGTGTGTGCATGTGTCTTGTATATATTTGTGTGTGTGTGTTTGTTTCCTTTCCTATCTATATGTGTGTGCGTGTCTCCTTTACAATGTATGTGTGCGTGTCTCCTTTACAATGTATGTGTGCGTGTCTCCTTTACAATGTATGTGTGCGTGTCTCCTTTACAATGTATGTGTGCGTGTCTCCTTTACAATGTATGTGTGCGTGTTTCCCTTTGCTATGCATGTGTGTGTCTCCTTTGCTATGTGTGTGCATGTGTGTCTCCTTTGCTATGTGTGTGCATGTGTGTCTCCTTTGCTATGTGTGTGCATGTGTGTCTCCTTTGCTATGTGTGTGCATCTGTTTGCTGTGTGTGTGTCTCCTTTGCTGTGTGTGTGCATGTGTGTCTCCTTTGCTGTGTGTGTGCATGTGTGTCTCCTTTGCTATGTGTGTGCATGTGTGTCTCCTTTGCTATGTGTGTGTCTCTCCTTTCTTATGTATTTATGTGTCTCTTTCCTATGTGTGTGTGTGTCTCTCTCTTTCCTTTACTATGTATGTGTGTTTCTTTCCTATGTATTTGTTTGACTCTCTCTTCTTTTCTCTGTGTGTGTGTCTATCTCTCCCTGTGTGTGAGCATGTCTCTCTCTCTTCCTCTGTGAGAGCATCTCTCTCTCTCTCTCCCTTTGTGAGAGCATGTATCACTCTATTTCCTATCCTCTGTGTGTGCACGTGCACATCTCTCTCTGTGTCTCTCTTTCTCCTCTCTCTCCCTGTTTGTATCTGTCTATATCTTATTGTTAATCAATAAATTTCTTTTTAAAGCAACTTGTCTCTCAATGTTTCTCTTGCACAAAGCAATGCCTCAAGAAGAGAAACGGATGAAAGAATTGTTTTGCACGAAAATAAACTTAGAGAAATTGATGTCTTGCAGTGTGCAAAATAGATAAAATTATGTATGTGACTCCCACCCCAAACACTCACTAAGCAGATTCTCTGGTTATTTTCTTTTTACCTCTTGGCCATACTCTGAGAATCAGTTTCGTTTTCAACTGTTGTTATTCTTTATAAACTAGCAAGGTTCCTTGCCGTTGCCAATATAAAACAACTCTAAATTGCTTTTGAGGATAATTTTCACAGATTTTAATATGGTCTTTTGACACCAAAGCTTTCTACATTGCCATCTCTTTGGTTATCTTCTTAGACCTTGTTATCATACATATCTTTGCCTATATGCTGTGTTTCTTCAAGAAGTGGCCAATCATGGCTCTCCACAAGTTCCTATCCTTTGTAACTCCTAGTAATATTTGCCTTTTTACTATTCCCCCCCCCTTTTTTCTGTTCTGCTATACATATACACAGTCTCATCATGGAGGTTACTTCTTGTTTCCCTCTGCCTCTCTTGCCTTCCGTATGTCCTGTGAGTATCAAATTCTCCAAGCCCTGTTTCCTCATTATGTTTCCCTCTTTCCTTTCCTATTTGTGTGTGTGTCTCTCTCTCTTTCTTTTACTATGTTTGTGTGTCTCTCTCTCTTTTTTTTCCTACGTGTGTGTGTGTCTCTCTCTTTCTTTCCTGCGTGTGTGTGTCTCTCTCCTTTCCTACGTGTGTGTGTGTCTCTCTCTTTCCTTTCCTACGTGTGTGTGTGTCTCACTCTTTCCTTTCCTACGTGTGTGTGTGTCTCTCTCTTCCCACGTGTGTGTGTGTGTGTGTGTCTCTCTCTTTCCCTTTCCCACGTGTGTGTGTGTCCTTTCCCCACGTGTGTGTGTGTCTCTCTCTTTCCTTTCCTACATGTGTGTGTGTCTCTCTTTCCCTTTCCCACGTGTGTGTGTGTGTGTGTCTCTCTCTTTCCCTTTCCCACGTGTGTGTGTGTCTCTCTTCCTTTCCACGTGTGTGTTCCTTTCCTTCCCACGTGTGTGTGTGTCTCTCTCTTTCCTTTCCTACGTGTGTGTGTGTCTCTCTCTTTCCTTTCCTACGTGTGTGTGTGTTTCCTCTCCTTTCGTGTGTGTTCCCACGTGTGTGTGTGTCTCTCTCTTTCCTTTCCCACGTGTGTGTGTCTCTTTCCTTTCCCTACATGTGTCTCTCTCTCTCTCTTTCCTTTCCTACGTGTGTGTCTCTCTCTCTCTTTCCTTTCCTACGTGTGTGTCTCTCTCTCTCTTTCCTTTCCTACGTGTGTGTCTCTCTCTCTCTCTTTCCTTTCCTACATGTGTGTGTGTCTCTTTCTCTTTCCTTTCTTATGTGTGTGTCTCTTTCTCTTTCCTTTCTTATGTGTGTGTCTCTTTCCTTTCCTTTCCTATGTGTGTGTCTCTTTCTCTTTCCTTTCTTATGTGTGTGTCTCTTTCTCTTTCCTTTCTTATGTGTGTGTCTCTTTCTTCCTTTCCTTTGTGTGTGTGTGTGTGTGTGTGTGTCTCTCTCTCTCTGTCTTTCCTTTCCTATGTGTGTGTGTGTCTCTCTTTCCATTCCTGTGTTCCTGTGTGTGTGTCTTTCTCTCTTCTTTTTCCTCTGTATCTGTGTCTTTCCTTTCCTATGTCTTTGTGTGTCTCTATAATATATAAAAAAGGAGAGACACATATATATCTGTCTCCTTTTTGTTTCCAGTTTACTTAAAACTTCATCTTTGCTCATGTGCATCCTTCTGTCGAACAAAATCACTGTTGTCACAAGTTTGATTTTATCTTTGAGAAAATTGTCCAACATTCATTGCCATGTAGGATGATTAATATTTCCTAGCGTTTCATCACACTTTTCTTTGTTTCTAACAAAGTTTTCCTGTTTCTCAATATTTTATCAATTGTACTAATTAATGTACTGATAACTAATTTTACTTTCTTTAACTTCTTCCTTTAAACTTTCAGGCCTACGTAAAACTATGTTACGAGCTCACCGTCAGGCTTGGTGCTGGCAGGATGAATATTATGGCCTCACCCTAGAAGATATTCGCCACCTGGAACGAGAGACCCAGGCAGCACTTGCTGAAAAGATGGCCAGTGCAAATGAAGATGTTGAGCCAATTGAAAACAAGAAACTCATCATTCCACCCAGCTCGTCGGTCATTGCTGGTGAGGACAAGACATCCCCAATCAGTTCATCCCACTCTGGTGACCCTCTCCACAGCTCTGTCATTTCACGAACATCGCCTTGTCCCAGCGTTCCAGATCATCTGTCAAATTTGGAGAACTTGACCTCCAGTCGTTCATTTGGATCCAAAAAGTCTGTCACTGGTAAGAATCATAGCAATCTGCATTTATGTTTCGTTAGGTCACATGAAGTGTCAAATTTACAGCTTTTCTTAATTTGATGTTGTCAAAATAAGTTTAACAAGGTGTGCATTGTACAATTTTGTATTATAAATCTGTAAATTCTCTGCTTGTACCTTAATGAGGAAGTTACAAATCAAATGCTGATCTATATGGTGAGCCATAAGAGGTGCCATCAATCGTTCAACAAAGAAAGATGCCTCTGGCACAGGGTTGTCTAACCATTTTTTTCCTCATGGGCCAAATCAGAAATTTAGATATATTTACCATTCCACAAAAATACTTTATATAAATATGCTTTTAAAACATTCAAAATGTTGTAAATATCTAATTTTAATTCGAAATATATATAATTACAAAAAATACTGTATTATTGATAGTAAAAAAAATTATACATACACAAAATGAATTCAATGTGATTTTTGACATTGGTTTCCTTTTATAATGTCAATATCTGCTTTTAGGGTTCTAGTTTTGATTCTAAGAATGTTAAATAATTGGGAATCACTGAACCAGTTTTGATGTTTATTCATGCATGAAAAGAATTCTTCACAGCAATATATATTACCTGCACATGCATAACAGTTTTCTAGATAAGCTAAATAATTTTTATTTAGTTCTGACTCTTGCCCCATGCACAAGTCAGTGTGTCTCGACAAAGGCCTTTACCCACTTCTCTTTTTAGTGCAGTCGGGGAGTGATCTAACACAATCTGAGAATAATTTTCTCGACAGACATCACTAAAGTAAATGAAAATACATCTAAAGATTTTAGGGTGTAGTGGGCCTCATGAAAATATCAAGTGCTACATCCCCGGTCTAAAGGAATTTGTAGTGACACCGGAAGTGGACGCCATAACGGACAATTTGCAAATGACTAAATATATTTTACACACAGGTTTGATGAATCTTCTCTTACATGCCATCCTAGAATATTGGCAATAATGGCTATCCACAACTTCCTCTCCCTTAAGGCTCAAACCAACATTTTATCCCTTAACACCCATCTTTATCAGCGTTCTGCCACCTATTCTAGATAATTTTTATTTAGTTCTGGCTCTTGCCCTATACACCAGCCAGTGTGTCTCGGCAAAGGCCTTTACCCACTTCCCTTTTTAGTGCAATGGGAAGTGAACCTACTAGCACAATCTGAGAATAATTTTCTCGACATAGATTACTAAAGTAAATGAAAATATACCTAAAAATTTTAGAGTGTAGTGGGCCACATGAAATATTAAGTGGGTTGCAGATTGGACGTCCACAACCTAACCAGACACTGTATATATGATTATGAAGTTGCCAGTAAGATGGTGGAAAGGTCTCATCTTACCATTGAAATGGCTAGATGTAACCTTAAGTTCTATGCTAACAGTTTCCTCTCTCACACTTCTTGTTTGTAAAACTTTCTTCCAGCATCTTTCGTTGTCTAATCTATTATTGTTCTCTCTCTTTAATAATATTTTCTTTTTCTCATATCTTCTCATATTCAGTAAAGCCTTTGCTTCTTAGTGGATTTATTGCTTTGCTTGGGGTGAAATGATGACAAAATAAACAAAAAATATGGAAACAGTCTTTGAACCTTTTTTGTTCAGCGAAAAACCCAGATTTCTTTAAATGTCAAATCGAAAACTTGCCTTCCTCTTGGATTGCTAAGTTGACTAGCATAGAACTTATGATTATATCTTACCATTTCAACCATTTTTAGTACTGCACTTAATACTTAAAATCTATGTACCACGGAGGAAAGTTCATCAGAACAATTTCTATGAAAGTATTTATAGAAAAGGAAGATATATTATGGCGGTAGGAATGTGACTGATTTTCGGACATTGTGTTTGGTTCTCAAGTGAAAGCTCATGACAACACCAAATCCCTTCTTTGCAATTTTCTCCAATTAAATTTTGAAATGCATAGAAGAGATGAGAAACTAATTTGAGATGCAGTTTCCTGCCATTCAATTTTGGTTCCATCTTAATTGGTTGACCCCATAATTCATAGCAGAGAAATACATAATTACTTTCTGAACACACTAGTATTAATCAGTTTGCAGTACCAATGTACATTTGGTGGTGAGGATGCTTTTCAATTCATCTTGGATATGGAATGTCTTGCCAGAATTAATTTACCTGAGTAGTGGTTTCTATGATATTAATTGCTGCTTTTATTTTTTTAATCAATTAACTCTGAGCAAGGTGATAATGCCACTAAGATGCAAGTGGCTACTGAGAGTGAAAGAGAACAAGAAGACTTTAGAAGGAAATAGAAACCCAATCATAAACAGGAAACAAGGGATAAACCTCTACTCCTGTTCAAAAGACTGGAGAGAAGTGTGAACTGCCTGTTTGCTTATCTATTAAATTTTTATTTTTTCATAAACTAGTGTGAATTAAGGCAAGAGCCAAATAATATATTGGCCCAAATGTGTTAGTAACTTGAAAGCATCAAATTAGATTATCTCTTTGAAAAGTTCTTTCCCCTGAAAAGAATATAAAAAAAAAAAAGCTTACCTAGTCTCCAGTGGCTGAAGATGAAGAATATAATAATTCAGATGATGTGCAGATTAATGAACAAACTCTGAAGGTGGTGGATTTAGGCACTTCAATGTGGTGTAATAGCAAGCTTGTCTTCCTAGATCAGTTATGACCGAATAGTGAGTTTGATCCTCACTGAATGCCCAATACTTTCTGTGCTGCATCTAAGGTCCACTTAGAAAACCATTTTGAGCATTTTGACATGGTGAGCAAGCTTGTCTCACTAGTTGTTATAGTGGAACACACCTATTCTATAGTTAATAGACTCTCCCACCTATAATAAGTAGGAATAGTAAGAGTAATGAGGGAGTCAGTGAGTTAGTCGATGTCGGACGACAGTCGAATACTAAAGCTTCAGTGACCACAACTAGATTACTCTGCGTTATACCTATTACATCAAGTTCCTAACGTTTTGTACATCGAACCTATTTTAGGATTGACTTAATACAATTACAAGCCTCCACTGTGAAAATCACTCCACAACATTAGATAAATTACAACTGAATAATGAGTTCAATCCTCACTAGGTACCCCATAGTTTTGGCCTTGTGTCACGTCTAAGCTATTCTTAGAAAATCATTTTTTGGCACTTTGACATGGTATCAAATGGTGAGCAAACTTGTCTTGTTAGATCAGTTAAGAATCAATACTGAGTTTGATCCTCACTGGGTTGCCCCATAGTTTAGCCTTGTGTCATGTCTAAGCTATGCTTAGAAAATCATTTTTTGGCACTTTGACGTGGTATCAAATGGTTAGCAAACTTGTCTTAGATCAGTTAAGACTCAATAGTGCATTTGATCCTCACTGGGTGCCCCATACTTATTGCTTTGTGTCACATCTAAGCTATGTTGAGAAAATCATTTTTTGACACTTTGGCATTGTGTAATAGTGAGCAAGCTTGTCTCACTAGATCGATTATGACTGAATAATGAGTTTGTTCCTCACTGGGTGGCCTGTACCTTTGGCCTTGTGCTACATCTAAAACATCTAAGCTACACTTACTTAGTGAACCACCAAATTTGATGAATTTACAACTCAGTTGCTCTCTTTAGCCCATCCTTCTTTTGACATCAATGTACACATTTTCTACATGTTTGACTTCCTATATGTGTGCAGGATTCCTTAGACATGTAGGGCATCGATCTTCTTGTACTTGAAATAATTGTTTTAGTGATACACGTGTTATTAATTAACCCATAGCTGGGGAGATAAGAGATGGATTGATAACTATCCTAAGGGTATTTGTGTGCAAATGAATATAACAAACCCAACTGGAATTGGAACTTGGCTCTTCTTCGATTAACAATTCCAAGCCATTAACCACTATACCACCAGCACATCCGAGTGTTGTAATGGAATGTCCTACACTCCTTATTGCCCATGTGGACTGATTATATCAGTAGCTATATATAGTGACCACAAGATATACCTGGAGACTTGCTTTGGGAATTACTAGCCTGCCACCCAAAAACCAAGGCGTTGAATACGTGCACATAAAATTGAAAATAAAATAGACAATGCCTGAATAAGTCACTAGATGATATTTATTTTGATATAAATATCATCTAGTGACTTATTCAGGTGTCGTCTGTTTTATTTTCAATTTTGTGTGCACGTGTTCAATTCCTTGGTTCAGCGTGGTTGACATACCCCAGCGATAATTCAGCTTGACCCTCTTAAGATCAAAAATCACAATATGGGTAAGAAAGGTCATAGTTGAAGAAGTCAACTTAAAAACCAGCTGCTGTGTCAAACGTCATCAATGACCGACAAGTGTGGGCTGATGGCTTGTTCGCCGATACCAGGATTGATCCTGACCAAAGACAGCAGGCTGCAGCCCCGGCTACGCCACCATAGTACTTGTAGATATAAAATTCAGGTAGATATTTTTTTTTAATCATTTCACCTCAAGGAAAGTGATAAAGCAACTAAGATGCAAAGGTTTACTAGAGTGCGATAGAATATGAGAAAAAAAAACATTAAGGAGAGAACAATAAAAGAACTGATTAAGAAAACACAAGATAACGACTGACATTGCATTCAAACTTTTGAAGATAAAAGTTGACTGGAAATCAAGAAGCTGGAAGAGAGTTCAACAAGCAAGAAGCATAAGAGAACTGTTAGTATAGAACTTATGGTTACGTCTTGCCATTTCAAATGTAAAATGATGAGTCCTTGTGGCCAGTCTAGTACTATGCCCAAATTCAATGTAAATGAACAATATAGTATGGAGTAAAAATCAAACAATAATAGACCTGCATTACTAGATTTGATCTGTAAACTCATGAATAAGTGCTGACCATGTGAGGTAGATTCTCAAAGATACAGTAGTCATTTGAGATGGCTTCCTCACTTCCCTTTTATGTGGCTTAATGATAAAATATAAAAACAACCTGGGTATTGTGATAAAAGACATAACAGTAAGATGAAAAGAAAAACTTGTTAGATGAAATAGTAATTTTTGCTTTCAAAGTTGAGTCTGCAACCTATGTTGTGGAAGTGATAAATGCACTGAACCCAAAATTCCTGGATGACCAGGCATAAAATCGACCTGTGAAATGACGAGGGATTAATAATTTTTAATGAATTTTTATTTTTTAATTCATAATATATTACTGCAAGGAGAATGGTAACACTTTTGTGTCACTTACCATTTTTTCAGAAAAAAAAATTGCCTCTCCACTGATTAAGAGCAATGAGTTCATGTAAATGAGCTTCTGTTAACTGCTAGTGGTTCAAGTGTCACTGAGTGGATTGCAGAGAAAAATATGCTTATCCATTTCCATGCTCCATGAATAGCCAGAAATAGTAACGTACTACTATAAAATCCACTGGCTTTCTTGCCGAGAGAGATCTTGCGAGGTGACTGTGTGTGTACATGGAGATTTGAACTTTGAGAACTTTTATTATATAATTATGTAGGTACATCTACATATTCACTAAAAACTGAGCATACCATGATGAAAAAATGTAAAAACTTACCTTCAATGAGTTTTGACTTGAATCCTATTGAAAATTTATGGCAAGAATTGAAGGTTTGCATAAATTGTCGGTCACCAAAAAACTTCAGGAATTAGAATATGTAAAGATTGATGAATGGAAGAAAATCCCAGAAAAGACTTGTTCAAATCTCATCAAAAACTTTAGAAAATGATTGCAGCAAGTTATAAAGATGAGAGGTCATAATATTGACTATTAATATTGTGAAAATTGTTCAATTTTTTCTTTTTTTTCATACTGTACAAAATAATTTTGTCTTTTCCTATTTTGCATAATTCACATGTCAAATTTGTTGTATTTAACCTCTTGTTCTGAAAATTTAGTTTTATATTTCTTTTTTTTTTGTGTGTGCTTATTATCACATAAAAAAACCTGGCATCATACGGACATTAGATTCTGAGAAATGGATAAAAATATTCAAAATTGATGGGAGTATGAATAATTTCATCGTTGATTGTATATAAACTAAGCAGTTTACTTATTGAGCCACAATTAAGATACATTAGCATCTGGATCATAAGAATTGTTGATAAGTTTAACAAATTACAAACTCCAAAACTTATAGGACTTAGTTTTTAGTTTAGTTCCCACAGAGCTATGGCTTTCAGCCACATCACATTGAAACACATTACCATACAATCACTAAAGTTAAGCAACATTGAGCCTGGTCATTACCTAGATGGGTGACCGCTTGGGAATACCAGGTGCTGTTAGCTTGGATGTGCAGTTGGTGTAATGGATAATGCCTCAGAATTGTTAATCAGAGAGCCATTTTCCAATTCCTATTAGGTTTGTTATATTCACTTACATGCAAATACTCTTGGGCAAGGTACGAATCCACCTCTTCTCCCCCAGCTATGGGTTAAGTAGTAAGACTTGTATTGCTAAACCATTATTATTTAAAAAAAAATTCTTACAACCTAAGAATATTTTCTGGTTTTAATTGACCTGCAAAGGGTTGAAAAGCCATAAAAAATTGAATCAATCACACAGCTATTGCCAAACTTAGATATAATTAAGAAATATGCAAAGACAGTCGCCTGCTATGACTAAAAGTTTCACACAGTGAACAATTTTGACATGTTAATAAGCCAGTTCCCATATGATCACTCAAGTTAAGCAACATTGAGCCTGATCAGTACCTAGATGGGTGACTGCTTTGGAATACCAAGTGATGTTAGCTTGGATGGGCAGTTGTTGTAATAGATAATGCCTCGTAATTTTTAATCAGAGAGCCATGTTCCAATTCCTGCTGGGTTCGTTATATTCACTTACATGCCCATCTTGGGTATGACGATAAACTACATCTGTGCCCTGGGTAAGATGATAAACTACATCCAAAAGCAAGTCCTCTAATCAGGAAGTTGTGAGGAGTGTAGGACCACCTCTTAATTGCTGGTGTTCCCACAGTCTACCCTGAGCCAGGGTGGTAGCACCTGTTAGGGTACCAGCTATGGGCAAATAATTAGCCCCCAAACTGGGGTCAAAACACTATTAAAGTGTAAAAATAGGTTTTAATACCAGAAATGCTTTGTAAAAAATTATTACTAGCAATACATTTTTGGAAAAAAAAAATATTACCAGCTATACATTTTTTGAAAAAATATTACCAGCAATACATTTATGAAGAAAAATATTACCAGCAATAAAAATTGTCAGCATTAAATAACCCATTGTGGTTGATATGCCGTAAAACAAAGCAAAACAAACCAATATATACTGAGATAGACAGATATTAAAGGACAAAAAGAGACAGATAGATATGAAGAGACCAAGATAGATAGATAGATAGATAAAAAATATTACCAGCAATAACAATTGTCAGCATTAAATAGCCCATTGTGGTTGATATGCCACAAACCAAACCAAACCACTTACATGCAAATACTCTTGGGAAAGGTATGAATCCACTCCTTCTCTCCCATCTATGGATTAATTAGTAAACCTTGTATCACTAAACTATTATCATTTAAAAAAAACTTCTTACAACCTAAAATCAATCAAACAGTTATTGCCAAATTTAGATATAATTAAAAAATATGCAAAGACAGTTTCCTGCTATGACTAAAAGTTTTATTTTGAGATGTTGATAAGCCAGTTCCCATATGTTCACTCAAGTTAAGCAACATTGAGCCTGGTCAGTACCTAGAAGGGTGACTGCTTGGGAATACCAAGTGATGTTGGTTTGGATGTGCAGTTGGTGAAATGGATAATGCCTCAAAATTTTTAATCAGAGAGCCATGTTCCAATTCCCACTGGGTTCGTTATATTCACTTATGTGCAAATATTCTTGGGAAAGGTATGAATTCACTTCTTCTCTCCCATCTATGTGTAAACCTTGTATCATTAAACTATTATTATTTTTTAAAAAAAATTCTTACAACCTAAAAATATTTTTTGGCTTTAAATAACCTGCAAAGAATTGATAAGCTGTAAAAATTGAATCAATCTCACAGCTATTGTTGAACGTAGATATAATTAAAAAATATGCAAACACAATATCCTGCTATGACTAAAAGTTTCACACATTGAGCAATTTTGAGATGTTGATAAACCGTAAAAAATGTTTAAATCAAAAATAAATTTGCTCTCCATTGTAGTGCTTAGCAATCCTTTTCTTTTTGCTATCTCTCTTAACCCCTGTTTGGCCAATCATTTTCACAAGCTCATAATTTAGGTTATCTGTTGCTTTCCTCTATCTCTCTTGCCTTCAATATGCCCTGTGAGTATTGAATTTCCCAAGCCCTTTTTCCTCATTAAGTTCAGTAGAACTGTTTCTGTCCTTGCCTTTTAAAATATCTCCATTCTAATTGTTATAGTGGAACACACCTATTCTATAGTTAATAGACTCTCCCACCTATAATAAGTAGGAGTAGTAAGAGTAACGAGTCAGTCACTAAGTCGCTCAGTGAGTTGTTCAGTCAGTCGATGTCGGACGACTGTTAGTTGGATACTAAAAGTATCAGCAACCACAACTAGATTACTGCATCATACCTATTATATGAAGTTCCTAACGTTTTTTACGTTGAACCTATTTTAGGACTGACTTAGTACAAATACAAGCCTCCACTGTGAAACCACTCCATAACACTAATGGAGACATTTTTAAGTCATAATAAAAAAGGAAAATTGTTTTTTTGATGTCAATTCATTTTCAAATCAAATCTTTCTTATGTGGTTTGATTCATAGTGTTGTTATTTTTTTTTTCATATTTTAATCTTTTAAAAAATGAATTTTCTTGGCGTGTTGTTATCTTTAATGTTATTTTTTTTCCTTGCATATTTTCTTTTGAAAGAATGATTTTCTCTATTCCATTTTTTTATAAAAAAAAAAAACGATGACTTATTTCTAGATAACGACTCCACCTTGTCCGAGGCTGTTACTATCGTTCAGACGGGTCAGTATTTTCAAGCACCAAAAGCAAAACACCCATCAGGCTTTTTACCACTGCTGTTTAACTGAATGTGTTATCTAGTGGCACCAGCCTTGAATTTTTTTTTTTTTTTTGTGACCACACCCTAACCTTATTTTAGTTCATGGTTCCTTCCCTTACCATATTGCCATATTGTATGAAGAAACCAGTTACTATTTTAGCCCACCATCCACTTGGCATCAATGCAGATATTCCCATGCATTTCCTACATGTGCGCATGACACGTTATACATGTAGAGCACTGATCATCTTGCACCTGTTTAATACCAGACAGTACCTCCACAGGTACCAGAAATACCTATAATGGCTACATGTCTCACTAATGGTCTTATAGTTTGGTAACTGTACTAACTAATTTTGCAATTACATCCAGCATCATGGCCTCTGATCAAAAGACTGGAGGTTTTGAGGAGCATGGAACTACCTCTTAATTGTTGTTTTCCCAGGTCAACCCTGACCTGGGGTGGTAGCACCTTTTAGGGTCCCAGCAATGGGCAGATAGTGAAATCCTCAAACAAAACACTACAAAAGTATAAAAATACTAGCAATACATTTTTATATAAAAACATTACCAGCAGTACATTTTTATAGTAAAATTACCAACAATTCATTTTATAGCAAAATGATCAACAATACGTTTTATCTGTTGTTGGCAGTATACAATTGCGTTCAAAATATATTTAGTTGAAGCCATAAAATTGTGTTCAAAATATTTAGATTTTGGCATTAAATAACCTAAAAAGGTTGATATGCCGCTAAACCAAACCAATGAACCAACCTAATTTTGCTAAAAATAAATTCTTTTTTAGTGGTATCTTCAAGAGACTGATAAAGCATAAAAATGCTGACATATTTTTTTGAAAAAAAATAAAAAAGAAGCTTTTGACATCAGTGATGATAGAACGGTAACGCTAGATATGCATTGGAGAAATTCTACTGACCCTGCTTTGTCTGGCCAGATTCTTAATATGGTAAAGTTTTGCAATGGTCAAAAGTTGAATATCGGTGACATACACTGTATGAAAATAAGTCCTATATTTCTAAAGCAAAGTTGCTAAGTCCTGGGCAAGATGATAAACTACATCTGGCAGTAATGCCTCTAATCAGGAGATTAGAGCATGGAATCACCTCTAAATTGCTGTTGTTCCCAGGTCCACCCTGACTCGGGCTGGTAGCACTTGTTAGTCTTACTATGGGCAAATAGTGAACCCCAAGCAAAAACAAAACACTCTGAATGTATAAAAATACATTTTTATATAAAAAAAGTAACATATATAAAAAAATTACCAAAAATACATATTTGTAGTAAAATTAACAACAGTACATATTTATAGTAAAATGACCAACAATACATTTTTATAGCAAACTGATCAACAATACATTTTATCTGTAGTTGAAGGCATACAATTGCGTTCAAAATATATTTAGTTGAAGACATACAATTGTACATTATTTACATTATTCGGACTATTATCCTCATCTATGTCACCATATCTATTACATTGTTTTGGTCGTTGTACACTCTGGCCTTCTTCAGGTGGTTGGAATGTCAAACTTAACCCTTTATTTCGCTCACTGGGGTAGACTGTTCTAGTTCCATGTGCCATGTTTAATGGATGTCAGTTATCAGTTATCTCCTGTTAATTTCCTCTGAAAGTTCTAACTGTTTAACGGTATTGAACTCACACTCTTTTGGTCTTGTCAATGGAGCTAACCAATGCCTTTATCCACTGTCCTTGAGGACACGTGGCACAGTGGATAAAGGTGTTGGTTAGATCCAATGACAGACCCAAAGAGTGTGAGTTCAATACCTGGTTAAGGCAGTGGAGAACTTTCAGAGGGAAAATTAACAATAGATAACTGATAACTGACATCCATTAAACATGGCACATGGAACTAGAACAGTCTACCCCAGTGAGCGAAATAAAGGGTTAAGTTCGACATTCCAACCACCTGAAGAAGGCGGGGGCGTACAACGGCCGAAACGTTGTAATAAATACAGTCACTCTGGGTAAGTCTCACAGGCCGTATTTTGTGCAGACCTGTTCTAGACTCTAGTCAGAGTTTTCTGAAGACAATTCCAGTTCAGTTGTCAGACAAAAGTTTCATCGACATAATGTTGAGTATGTTTGTGTTTCTTAACACATACTTGCTATCTATTTCTTTTTGGCAATTGCAGGTTTTTGTTGAAATAGTTTTTTTTCTTTTTTGCTTTGCTGAGCATTAAATCAAACATCATGTTGAATGCCTTAATGGCTTCTATTATGCAGCTTCCTTATTGTTTTTTTATCAAACGCACGTTTCAATTAAGTTCTCTGACTATTCCAGCAACTTTGTTCCCAAAAGGTCAAATGTACACCTTTTCTAATTTTTTTTTTTTTTTATAAATGCTTGGCTATTCGTCCTTTAGGACTTCATCCGACTAAAGTGATGTTGATGTAACTACACATGCACATGAAGGAGAGGGACACTAAAATTTTAAATGTAAATTTTTTTTTTCTTTTTATAATTTTGTTATAGTAGAACACACCTATTCTATTGTTAATAGACTCTCCCACCTATAATAAGTAGGAGTAGTAGCAGTCGCTCAGTGAGTTGCTCAGTCAGTCAATGTCGGACGACCGTTAGTCGGATACTAAAGTATCAGCGACCACCACTAGATTTCACTGCGTCATTACCTATTATATCAAGTTCCTAATGTTTTGTATGTTGAACCTATTTTAGGACCGACTTAGTACAAATACAAGTCTCCACTGTGAAACTACTCTACCACAAATGTGAATTTGGTGAGATCATTTTGCTGATTTCATTTTAGTTTCTTTTTCTTTTTATCGCTTTTGTTATTAAGTATACCCAACATTGTGGTAAAAGAAGATCTGCTAAGAATGATGGAATGTTGTAAAAACCCGGATGCAAATTTACTGTGGATCAACATCATGTAAACAACACTTTAGTCCAATAAAGTTATAAAGGATGAAATGCATCACACAAAAGATTTTTTTCCACTTTGTCATTAATTTTCCTAAACCGGTTCTGGTATATAAAAATTAATATCATCATTTTCTATTATGCTTAGTTATGCCTGGTGTCATATTATGATCTTTGCTTATGCCTTTATGTATTTATCAAACTTGATGGGTCAGCTGGCTACTTTCTTTTAATAATCACCACAACTGAAAAGATGATATTAAATCAAATATTCATTTAAATTGACCCTACTCTGAGTTTTTGGGAAATTACATCCACTCATCAGGTGACTTGATTGTAAAACTGAATTTATTTTAATTTGTTATTTTTTTGGGGGTGAAATGCATTCTTTGTTATTGTTATGATACAGGGTGCGATGGGTAAATTGTCACCATTTTATATTCTTAATTTTGCACATGTATGTTGTTTTAAATTTTTTTCAACTGCACAGTATAGTACGGTCAGTTGGGCACCGTCTTTGAGAAAAAGAGTATCATGATGCCATTCACTCTGCCATAAATTTGAAAATAGTATGCTGTATTGCTTGGCATTCATGCCAGAAGCTCCAATACAAACATATCACAATGTTTGGGTGTCAAAGTGAGGACAGTACAGAGGATTCAAAAAGAGTTCAGATGAGGCTAATGGTGATTATGAAGGTATGACAGCTTAGAAAACTCACTTTGATCATTCTAATAAGAAATGAACTTCCAAATTTGTTGATGAGGGCCTCAGACTCAACACAGAGTCCTACATCAAGTGCCTTGAGGAGGTAGTGGT